CCTCCCCTCCCCTCCCCTCCCCAACCCCTAAAGAAAACCCAAGAGGAACTATCTGCCTATTCAGACCTGATATATGCACTCACTGATTGTGGTCAGCAACATGTGCAGGGCGCAGGTGGTCTTCATGAAACACCTTCTGAGAAGAGTCAAGAGTGATTGAAGAGGAGTCAATTACAGGATGCACGAGCCAACTGTGCCCATTCAGAGTTTGATGACTAACCCGGCGGTGCGGGGGGCGTGGAGCGGAGGATCAACCTACTCTATGGAAGTCTCCAAATTCTGAGTCTGGACTATATACCACACGTCTGGGATACTGACTCAGAAGGAGCTTGGAGAGCTTGTTACAGCAGTGGCAAGAGCACATGCCACAAGGGACGGGGGCCTTGCGCACAGTACCATGAGGAGCTTGTCGTGGCAGTCCAGGATAGGAAGGCAAGGAGTATGAAATGGCTCATAACATACTTAGTGCTGCCGGTCAACCCCTGGCTTAACAAGTGCAGAGCTCACATACATAGCTCACATACACAGAAGTGCCGTCCAGGAAATTTGTGCAATCTGCAGCAACTGAGAAAGAGAGGATATCAGACACTGCCTGCTTTGGTGTCCCAAAGCAGAGCAGCCGTGGAGAACTGCCCGGGAACTACAGAAGTCAACCACCGATAAACACTGGATGGAAGAAACCCTCGCGACTCTCGCAAGGTTCATGCAGCCCCGAGCAGAAGAAAAGTGGGAATGGAAGCTGTACGGGAGAATCAGACCTCTGCCACTGTGGGTGGTGTGGAAACAGAGATGCAAGGAAACACTGGACAGTCAAAAAGTGCCAGCGGAGAAGGCCAGAAACCGAATACGATCTTCATGAAGGTAATATTGACCTGTGAAAGGCAAAGCCTTGAGCAGATGATGCACTACCGCTGTCTCGGAAAAAAAGGCCAGCAATGGCTGGCAGAAGACCTCCAGGGTATGGTGACAGGTGAGTGGATCACCTCATCTCCTCTCTCTGTCCTACAGCGCTAGCCTAGCTCCTCTACCACTGCTCCTCTACCTCCACTAGCTCTGGGCTGCTCCAGCTCGTGCAGCCTGGTGGCCTCCAAATGAAATGAGAACTACCTAGTACCTACAAACTACTAGGCTGACCTCTCCTAAATACTCCTGGGTCGGCAACCAACCAGGTCGTCCTCCCATCTGGGCCGTCCGATAGCATCAAATTCTGCAGTCCAGGTCAAAGGTTGTGTGACCAAACTGAGGCCTAGGCACGGTCGGGGTACCAACTCAGGTCCAGACCCTCTCTTGTTGTCCCAGCCCGAGTCCCTGGAAGAGAAAAACTGACTGGCACAATAACTCGGACACAAGCCCAGCCTCAACACGAGCTTGCCAGAACTGTGAAACAGTACGCGCCAGAGTTCTGGATAGGACAAAGTGCCGAGAAGTCCTCCAGACCAGAGATGCTTGCCCTGGTAGTTCCTTCCTTGCATGTGTAGTCATGTAGTTAGGTAGTGTGAGGTATATTTGAGAGAAGAACATAGCTAAGTTTTTTAAAACAAGGACAAGGTGGGATGGCAACGAGTGAAACCGTACTGACCCCAACAGAATATGCAGAAATCGACAACAAAGCAAACTGAATGAAATGGACTGAGAATAGACAAAATGCACACTCATCTGGGCTCAGAACAGACAAATACTCGCACGCCTGCCTTGAACTTGAAGCAAAGCAAACTAAATATACATTGGACTTTGAACAGACAGGACACACTCTGGGAACCCACTCTCTAAGGCGCTCAAAGTTGGCTAGCAGCATTGGCAAAGGTCTGGGCAGCAGAGGGCTGCCCCTAGGACATGTCCCGGCTCCCCAGCCCGGTGTCGGAGGTCCTCAGCATGCCACAGAGGCAGAGGGAGACGGGGAGACATCTTCTTCTTCTTCTTCTTCTTCTTCTTCTTCTTCTTCTTCTTCTTCTCCTTCCTCCTCCTCCTTCTCGTCCTCCTTTACTACCTCGGATCATAATTCTGCTCTTGGTCATCCTCACAGAGAGGAAGAGAGAGAGATCTGATTGGTACTCCGGATTATATTGTGTGAGTGTCTTTCTCTCGACAGAGGTGTTAGCCGGGGGCAACAGGGAGGGAGGGAGGGGCCAGTAAAAGGGGGGGTGAGATGAGGGGTTCAACAGGGCTGGGGGGCAAAGGAGGGAATTTGGAGTAGGAGCGACTACTGTAGTGGCATTACCATATCCTGTGTTCCTCTTCTTCCTCCTCACTCCCTCTTCCTCTTCATCTTCTTCATCATTATCACCACGCTCGTCTGTGAACATATATTGATGGGGGGTGGCTCCTTCCGTGCATAATTTCCTTCCCTCTGGGCCGTGCATCGTTCCTCTGCCCTCATTCTCGATGTCATGCATGCATTTGGTAAGTTGTCTGATTGAGTCTTACTTTGCGCTTCACTCATCATCATTCTCTCCCCCACTGGTTGTCATTTGACTCGTTCCGCATGCCCCATGGGACAAGTCAAGTGCCATGTTCTCTCTCCCATGCCAGCCAGGCTAGACCAGATACATGGATGCATGTCTCTGTTTCCCTTTTTTTCTTTCCAAGTTTCTAATATACTTTTTTTTTAAGATCAAGAATATCAATATATTAGAGAATATATATAGCTGAGCCGTATGAAAAGGAAATTTTCAAGTTCGGTTCTATGGGACGAAAAAAAAGAAACTATCCCAACCGAGGTGAACAAGCTATTCAACAACAAGATATTGAMAGCTCTAAAGCATGGTTCAATCAAGCTGCTGAATACTGGAAACAAGCTATTCAATTAGCTCCTGGTAATTACATTTCCCTCTACAGTATGTTATGGCCTACACAAATGCATTTCATCTTTTTGTTTTGTTCTTTTCTTTTTCAACGCAAACGATGATATGTACTTTGCATCATAATAACAGTGAGGCCAAGCCAGTTGCGACAATGAACAAAAACAGAAGAAGAAAAAAAGACAACATTACCTGAGGTGGACTCTCCAAGGGGAAGGCCAACAAGGTTTTGCAAGTCCACATGCGGGAGATAAATAGAATCACAGCACAATCTCGGTTCATGTGGGCTGCAGAACCTCCTACACTGGCTCTCATGATCAGCGATCTGGTACGCAATCTGCCTGCAGCCGGCAAAAACGTCATCGCTTGCAGACAGGTTACCCCTAATCCATTGAGAGAAAGCCTCCACGTCGAACTTCCCATTCTGTGTGAAAGTGTCATTTAGCCATTGGCTGCAGTTGTTGGCTTGCACGTACTTCTCTATGACTGTAGCGGCATAGTCCACGAGCGCAGATGCTATAGTGAATGAGGCTGCATAGTACACAGGAGGGGACCACCATTGGTCAAGTCAGAAGTCAACCCAAAAGTCTACCAATTTGCAGAGGGCGAAATTCGATTTTCATTTTTTTTTCCCCTCCTCTTATTCCCATATGCTACCGTCTTCATCTGAATAGAACACCGCCTAGTCATTATAGCTGTATGTGGACTGAGAGTGGGTCAAGGGGACTGCATAGTAAGCAGGGGACAACCACTAGTCAAGTCAAGAAGTCAGCCCAAAACTCTGCCCCCTTCCAGAGGACAAAATGCTTTTTCAGGGCAATGGCAGCCGCGGCACAAACGAGTTTCGATTAGGCAAAAAAAACACTCGCCGGCAAAACAAAGAGCAGCCGAGTTAAAAAAAGCAATGAAAGCACCACGGCCATGACAAAGGCACAGATGTCCTAACTACACCACAGATCGCACGTAGACAATAGCACTGATCACATCCATTTGTCTGTGGCCTGCCTAGCCAACAGACTCCATACACACAGAGAGAGAGAGAGAGAGAGAGAGAGAGAGAGAGAGAGA